GATGGTTAGCTTAGTGCCTTCACTCACACACTTCCTTCAGCTGCTTCATAAATTGAAATGCTCAGGGGTCTATCCAGAACTGGACACTCCTGCTTTGCATACTTAGCCAGAGGAGCTTCACAACCATTTCAGTGAGAAGCAAACCCAAAACTCTGACATACCAGAGGTTTCCCTAAACCAGAATCCCCCTCATCCCAGAAGCTGAAGTGCCCAAAACATACCCCTGTAGGGAAAGGGGCTGAAGGGAAATGTTAATCCTTCAATGCAGGTGAAATGCTCTACTGAAAGTCAGAGATTGTGATGCCAGTGGAGAGCAGAATAGACATTCAGACAGCAGCTTCCAGCATGCAGTGAGATGGGTGTGGGCTGGGGGATCACAGTAAATGGTGGGAAGCTCCACTATGGCTCACCTGCACTACTTTTGGTGCTCTACCCCTAGGGCACATCAGCAATGTTTTGCAGAAGGTGGACGTGCAGCTCATCCAGCAGGACATCTGCAGTGAGGCCTATCACTACATGATTTCTCCCAGGATGCTGTGTGCTGGGTACCACAAGGGCAAGAAAGATGCCTGCCAGGTGACAGAGGAGTTGTGGGATCAGGGTTGACTACCAGAGGTGGGGTGTTTCCCAAGTCTCCCAGATGCAGTCCATAGCCTGAAATGAGAGTGAAAAGACCATAAAATGCCTGCCTCCCTCAACACTTCCTCTGATCTAAGGGGCCAATAACAGCTCTCGGGATCACTTCTTCCCAGCATCTTTACCTTAGACAGGATGCAAATACACTTAAACTTCTCCTTTTCTCATTTCAGGACATTCTCCCCTCTTTACCTCCCACTTTCAAGTCACATGTCTACATCAGTCTCTTACCCCTTCAGCCTCTTTAGCATCTGTCACACATGCTAACCTGTCTGTTCCTTCATTACTATCAATCTCAAGGAATTCCTCTGTCTCCCATCCCTCTGGGTATCCAGTTAAATGCCACCAGTTTCCTTACTCTCCACATATTTGGAAATGCCACACAGAGCAGAAGGAAACAATAGAGCTGTCAGCTTCTTGGGACCCGACTAAGGGGGAGGAATTTGCATGATGAAGGAATGCAGCAATGGGCTGGGTGTTTGCATTGGAGACTGGTTTTGACACCTGCCTAAGGTACAAGGAATGTTGCAGATGTCCCAGGCACGAGTTGAGGGGATACAGAAATCTGCATACAGAGGGACTCAAAGCCAGTATAATCATCCATCAGGAGGAGCTGGTGCATCACCATCACCCTGTTTTTCTTTCCCTTTCTCTAGGGTGATTCTGGAGGTCCGCTGGCCTGCAAGGAACCCAGTGGCAGATGGTTTCTGGCTGGTTTGGTCAGCTGGGGAATGGGATGCGCACGTCCAAATCACTATGGAGTATACACCAGGATCACTCAAGTGCTGGGCTGGATGAATCAAACCATGAGCTGAGAAAAGTGCATCTCTGTTTTCTTCCCATCAGACCTACACTCACATGGCACTCATTCCTGATCTTGCTCACTTGCCTCTCAGACAGAGTTTCTGTGTAGGATATCGTCAGGCCCAGGATGCTCTTCTGAGCAGGGTAAAAAAAGCCTGCACTGGGGATTGTAGTGAAAAGCAGGCAGATCCTCTTCCCCCTCAGTACTTCCCAGGGAGATTCCCAAGGTGGTTTTGGGCCATCCACCCGAAAGAGTTGGGAGCAGGGTAGGGTGGGGGGTACAACACACAGTAATGGTCCCAAGTTGATGGTTTCTGAGAAAAGGAATAAGGGGAATTGAACTTTCCATGAACCATGTGATTCAGCCACAATCTTATGCTGGAACATTTGCTGAAAGAAAATATGACTGATGTAGTTAGAGATTCCAGTAACTGTGAAATCAATCTGCCTCCCTCTTCCTTCCTGCTGCTCATCCTTCTTCCCTCTTCCCCTCCCATCACTCCTCCTCTTCCATCTCCTTAATTGCTTCTTTTCTTAGCTGGCATGTGCTGTTCAGTGTGCTGTTGAGCTCAGTCAGACAACTCTTCACATCTCACTGACTCCCAGGCACGAGTCCGGCATCACACCCCCAAGCACGTTGTCCTGCCTCCCTGCTGGAGCAGCACCTGGCCTCCACCACTGTGCTTGGACTCCCTCAGGCAAAGGCCCTGGCCCCTCAGTAAAAACATTGGAGCAGCCTCCCATCCCCATCCTTCAGCCCTTCTAAATACCTTTAACATGAGGGCATCTCAACTGCTTCCATCTCCTAACTCAGGTAATCCAGGAAGTAAAGGAGAAGGTTTAAGGGCACAGTGCTTAAACAGTGACTGCTATGTGCGTGGATTTTTTACTAAAGATATACATATACGTGTGTGTGTGTATATATATATATATACACACACACAATTTGCCATTGTCTGGAATTAGAAATAAAATTAATTTGAGGGGTTTTTTGGCTCTAGTTTGCCTTACTCTGTTAAATATTATCTTGGGGTTTGTATCTTTTTGACCAAATTCCAATCCTGGCACTGGCAACTGGGAAAAGTTTCCACATCCCTGCCCTGCCTCTCAGCTGTGTCCCAGGCACAGTGGGGTCAGTACTCTAGCTAGGCAGTCCTCGCTTATTGTTATGATTTAAAGGTGCAGATACCAATAAGCAAACCTGCTCTGTGGCCCAGCTGCCTGCAGTGAGGATGCAGTACAGATGCAGTGGGAAGTACCTCCAGCCCTCAGAAGACAGGTGCAGCACAAGTAGCTTCTGGTGGCTCCAAGTGATGAATCCAAACTTCTTTTATCCAGCTCCCACCCCCTTCTACCAGCGCCAAATTTCTGCCACTTGAAATGACAGGCGAAGAGGAACAGACTGTGAATTTTATTCAGGAGTTACAGCCTAGTGTCCTCAGACAGAGCAGTGAAGCCAACACCCCGCTCCCCAAAGCAGGGATCTCCTCATGGTAGCAGACATGACATGAGGTGCCAGTGTGTTCCCAGTACCCAGGCAGCACACCTGTCTCCTGCTCATGCTGCCGACACAGGGCTGCTTTGGGGACAGGGAGAGAGGCACCGAGGAGCCTGATACCCAGCACAGGGACACCCCACGAGGAGTGCAGGTGGCCCAAAGAAGGGCAGTAGATCTGCATTTGTGCTCTGGCCACAAGCCCAGACCAGCTGCCTGCCACAGCCAAAGGGCGAGGACTGGTCCTACAGCAGCTGCCACCACCTCGGGGTCCCAGTCACATCCAGGGTGTTCAGGAAGGGACCGCAGACTTCAGTGGCTGATCACTGATGTCCCCAGCAGGGGCCACTGTGACATCAAGGAAAGCCACCCTGCTAGGCATGGCAGGGGACCGTGGGCTCCAGCCCCTACAGCAGCTCAGGAGCTCCTTGGAGCATCTGCCCTCCTCCAGGGCTGAGGCTCAGGCCTCTGAGGTGACTTTGTAAGAAAGAATGGCTGCATGTGAAGGGGACGGGGGAGTGTCATTGTGGGGCAAAGGACTGCTGTACGCTGCAGTACAAAAATAAAGATATAAACCAGAAATTAAAAGGCTGGAGTGGAGTATCAGGATTACATCCTCAGACCTCTGGCTTGTAACAGCTAGAGAAGGAGAGAAAAAGAGAGAAACAAAATCAAGAACAGGAAAAAAAGGTGATTGAGCTTGGAGGGGAGAGTGGGAAACAAGAAAAGGGAAATGACAGAGGAAATGAGAACAGAAGAAAAAAAGGAGGGTGGGAGAACAGAGAAAAAGGAAGGAAAAGTCCGTGTGATTAACATACATTGACTTTTAAGAGAATAACAGTTGGGTCCCACAGCCATGGACAAGGAGGCTCTTGAATAAAGGGAGAGAGAAATGTCAGCCAGCTAACAAGTGCCCTCCACCAGGACAGAGAGTGGCACAGAGCACTCTGGTTTAACAAGAGCCAGTTTTCCGGTATGAGAGAGGAATCCTCCTTCTAAAGCTTTCTGTACTCAGCCCCATGCACCCCAGCCAGGCAGCCTCCCTTCACAGGAGGTAGAGCACAGAGGCTCATTTCGGACACAGCTGTGAGAACATCTGGAGCAGGGAACAGCCACTTCTACTCTGCCTTCACCACCCTCTCCCACTGCGCTCTCACCCTGGCAGAGGTAGTGGAGAAAAGCCCAGGGAAGTGAGAGCAGGGAGGGGAAAATCACAGGCTGCCTTCTGCAAACCACTCTCGGGCTGGCAAGCAAAGAAGCTGCAGACAGCAGTCTGGAGAAGTGATTTGGCATGCTTGTCAGGCAGACACACGTGGCAGAGTTCCCCCCCTTCCCTGTGCCACCCCTGCCTGATCTGCATTCACTTCCACCCCTCTTCATTTCTCCCAGCTGTGTTCTCCTTTCTGCCGCCAGAGCCTCTGGTCCAGAGCAGTAAGGCCTGCTTGGCAGGTAAAGGCACACACAGGATGAGAATCAGAAAAGCCACCTTAGGGATGAGTCAACCTCCCCTCCCTCCCTTTCCCTCCCCAAGCTCTATAAACTGGGGCCGTACCCACAAGAGGGAAGTGAGTCACACAGGCAGAGCTCAGGCTGGTGGGAGCTGAGAGTGCATACAAGGAACATACCTGCAGAGGAGGAAAAGTGAGGAACAGAGACAGGGTCCCAGAGAGGGACCACTCTGAGCCCTGGGAGGCAAAGGGAGCGGAGGGAAGGATGCTGGAGGCTGGGTAGTGGGGCAGGGTGGGAAGCAGGTGACTGACAGTGCGGATCGGACATGGAAGGGAGCAGGAGGGAGGGTCCAAAGAAAGAAAGAGTTTAGTGCAATCCTGAATAGATGGACAGTCTGCAAATAAAAATATAACCATAAATAAACCAAACAGTTTATAAAGCAGCAGCTACAGTAACAGCTTTCCCCCTGTGAGCTTTATCTCCACAGAGACTCTTGTTCCTGGAGAGGACTTACCCCACACCCCCACCTGCCCTAGTCCTTCCCTGCTGCTAGCTGTGAGCTCTCACCAGAAAGGTGGACGGGTCTACGCTTGGGGGGTTATTTTAATCATTTTCCTCAAGGATTTGCGGCACCTTTCTCCTCTGCTTCTGCTTCTGCCTCCTCCTCCTCCTCCACTTCCTTCTCTGGGTCCTCCTCTGTGCTCTGTGGCCCAGCATGCAGGACAAAGGGAAGAAAGAGTGGAGACACTTGCAAGATGAGCCATGGCAGTTTTTTCTGACACACAAAGTAATAAAGCAATGGTCATGACACTGGAACAAAAAGGGACCCTTCCCTACAGCCAAGCTGTCTTAGCTCTGGTTCAGGGAGCAAAGAGACTTGTCTTCCTCAGGAGTACCATGTCAGGGCTATCTAACCCATTTACAAGTGCTGTGATCCCACTGCCCAACAACTGCCATCAGCTGGTCCCCCTTCATGTATCCTAGGTGTCTACAGGATGTCATGCACTGCCACACATTTCTGTCCCTCCCTCAAAAGGGGAGCAGGTGACCTCCTGCCCCTTAGGCTGTGACTCAGCAAAAGGAAAGAGAATGCTGCAAAACCTTCAGAGAAATCACATCCTAGAGGCAGAGTGACACAAACAGCATGGTCATGAGGAGGCATGAGGGGGATGTCAGAGTAGCATGAGAAGTGCCAGGGTCAGTTGTTAAAGCCATTTGCCACCCACAGCCAGACACCACCACTCTCAACACACACCCTCCTCCTTATGGGCAATGGGTGTAATGCCATGATGCTGAACATCAGGACAAGCCCCTGTATTTCACCACTGAGCTGCCCCACAGTCACAGTAAAGAGATGAAAGAAAGACAGAGTAAACAAGAGTAAGGCATCTCATAGACAACGAGAGCAGGGTGATAGCAAAGTTGGTCTCACCTTGGCTTTGTGGCTGGGCTCAGAGCTCAGGCCACCAGGGGAGTTGTACAGCTCTTTGGAGACCACACACAGGAACTCTGTCTGATCTTCATTCCCATAGTTATAGGATGAGCCAATGTTCACAAGCTAGAAAAGATGAGAGCAAGAATCACAAACACATGTGGATTCTGCAAACATCCACTCCACCAGGAGAGCAAGGGAGAAAGCCCACCCTGCAGCATGGAGTCAAATCCATACACCCAACAGAGGGCTTCATAACTAAACTGAGGAGGCAGCACAGAGAACAAGGAGAGGAGTCAGTCAGGATGCAAACCAGCTTAAACCTCACACAGTATCCTCTAAACCTCTAGAGAAGGGGCAAGAGAGAGCCAGTGCAATAGCACCATCAATGACTGACCCAATATTCTCAGAGAAGCAAGGTGCCATGCCTGGGCACTGTACGGTATCCATGATCTTTCCCCCAAAAGACAACCCCCTCCCACCCTCCTCTACCTTCTCCATACCTGCTCAAAGCACCATCCGTCCGACATAGTGGAAACCATCTGAGTGAGCTCCTCTTCCTGGCACTGTAGCACACGGTAGACATGCTTAGGAGGCACCTGACAGCAAAATTGTAGAACATGTTGAAAATGTTCAGATGCTAAGGCTGTTGAATGAAGCGGTAGTACCCCTCCTCGATAGACCTGTCTTCTTCCCCATGTCCCAGGTTAAAGCGGGCTTTTTTGATGGGGAGTTTGCATTTGTCATTACAAAGTCATTTGTAATGCTGATGGGGTTTTGCAAGTTAGAGGCTTACAATCTGAGGCAGACATGATAAAAAGTGAATCATCAGCCAACACTCACAGAAGACAGATTCTTAAAGGTTATTGGCCAAGACAAGGTGTGATTGTGACACAGTATTAATTTCTTGTGCCTCATTCTCTGCATTTAACTTTTCCATAGACTTCACCTGTTCCCTCCAGGTTTCTCTATAGGTAACCCCATGTTATTTACTGTGATTACACTCCCAGGACTCTTCACACCAGAGCCCTCCTCCATGACACCTTCGCCCTCCTCATAAACATTCTTCCATATCCCACAGCAACCAGCTACCTTCTTCCAAAAGCTAGAGGAGCTGATTTGGTTTCAGAGACTACATCCAGCATTACTTCTGGGGTTGCAAAACAAGCCTGTAACTTGTTTATTGTAACTAAAATGGTGGTGGCCTGTTCCCTGCAAGATTTTGCTATGTAGATGTTAGGACATAAACTCCCAAGTAGTTGCATCTTTCCATTCCTTGCTGCTTCTCCCAAGTCTGCTCTCCCTCTAGACTCACCTCTCCCTTTCCACATTCCCCCCTTCACCCACCCCACTCTATCTTTCCTTGCCATTTCTCTCCATACCTGAGTTACTGTGTAGTCCTTCTCCTCCAGTCGATCCTTAATTATTCGGATTAAAGGACCAATGTTATAGAACTCGGCTTCTTCTAGGACCCCTGAGAAAAAAAGACAGAAAGTTAATAGCCCACCTGTGTTTTTTGGCTTGCAAAAGATAAATTCTGAGCTTCCCAAGGTCCATAAGCAGAAATGACATCACAGCCTCATTTTTAACAGGTTTCTGTTGCTTGAAATTCTTACTGCAGAGAACTGAACTCTGTCTCTCTGCATTGCATTTCAAATGCTCACCCCAGTTTCCTTATGCTGCCAGTGAAGGTTTGTGCCAAGGACTACTAATACCTCTCCCAGATAACTGGCCAAGAAGAATAAATGTAGGCTCCAGCCTCTCTCAATGACTACTAGTTATCACCTTGTTCAGGCCCTCTTAAGGCAAAGAACCACAACTTGTTCTGACCTTGTCACCAAAAGACCCTAGAAAATCACAGCTTTCATCCTGGGCCAATTGGAGTTGCACCCACCTTGCAGCCCCGCATGACTTCAAAAGATCATTGGCTCTCTGCCCTGTGCTTCACCTCAAAGCAGGTAAACAGAGAAGTGTTTTGGGTTTTTTCTCTACTGTGTCTGCATCACCTCTCCTAAGACTCACCTGTTTGCTAACAGGCCTTCAGGGAAAGGGAGGTGGGTTCCCAGAGGGTCAGTGAGGGAAAGGAGGCTAGGAGCCAACACTTACGTGTTCCCAGGTCAGTACACACACAATATAGGTGGGGAGATTGATCCTTCACTACCTGACAGGCTCAGACCTCTTCTGAGTCCCTCATTCAAAGAGTGAATCATCTAATGGATTAGTTTTATGCCAGCCTGAGTGTCTACAGCAGGAACAAAAGGAAATGTTAAGCCATGAACAGGACTCTTGTTTATGCTTCAGATGTGATGTTAAAACCTGTGGATGAATTTTGTTTGACCCCAGGATTACACAAAATGTCAAGTAGGAAACACCTCAGAATTGTGCTTATTACAATTCTGTACCATTGCTTAGATATATTTTTGGAATTAGAACTCATAAGATATTTCTGAAGAAAATTTTCCTTGCATTAGGTAATAATATGTAACAGAAAGAGACAAGAAGACTAATGAACATGCAGAAACTGTGGCTGGCAAGCGCTGGACAGCACAGCCTGTCTTTGGAACTGGCTTCTTGTTAGACTCAAGCATCCAAAAAATAACAACACACCAGGAACTGCTGGCTGGTAACACCGTGAGGTTACTGAGTTATCCTATCAGACCCCCTATCAACCTCAAATAAGGGATTGGTTTGTCTGGCTTGCTCCACTGGAATCGCTGTAGCCCACAACCCATCAGAGCACTAGTAGCATACGTTGCATATCGGTGATTAACGATAGTCTTTATTATAGTCAGTAGAAGACATGAGCTTGCTTTTGTTTGGTCTTCTGCATTTTCATTCCTAATTAGAAATACTCAGCCATCAACAGAAAACTCAGCCACAGAGCCTAGTTAAAAGTGAATGAGGAACAAGTAAAAAAAAATGGTTTATTGAGGCTGAGAGATCTAACCTACTTCTGTCTTGGTGACATATCTGTTGAATGAACAGTCGTGAAGCCACAACACCTGTAGGATGCCTTCCTCACCTACTCTGAACCTCTTTAGTAAAGTAAACATCAGTATGCTTTCCAAGAGCTGCAGGGACAGCCCTCTCAAATATTCCCACATCAACCTCCAGAAGCAGAATGAGAGACAACAAGTTGACAAGTCCTAATGTGTCATAGCCACAGCAGTGATGTTAAGTGGGAAGTTTCTGAGCTCTAAGACTCACCCTCTTCAGCCATATCTTTATCCAGGACCAGCTTCCCATGACGGAGGAAATTCAGGATGGGTCCAAAGTAAGTGGGGTCCCGGTCTATTAGGTAAGCACCAGTCTCATCCTAGCAACAGAAATACACCACAAGGAGAAAAACCCCATGGGAAACTTGTAACCAACCCTCAAATGTTCCAGACTATAAGAAAATACAAACCTATACAAAAATGTCCACTATTTCTAAGACTCCTTGGAAACCATGGGCCCCTGAGAGTCCCTAGCCAAGTCAGGCCAGCTGGGATTTTAACTCCTGTATTTGTACACCCAGTGTGCCCACCTCAGCATGGACCAACCCAGCTGAGAAAGCCAAAAAAATAGGCCTCAATCTCCTTCTCCAACTGTGTGTACAGGCCCATGAGGAGAGCAGAGCCCTCTTGTAGGGGACAAGGGTGACTCAGGCAGATCCAGCTGGGAGGGAGACCCAGGGGATGTGGGGTGATGGAGAGGCAGGAGAGCAAGGGCAGAGGGGAGATGGCTTCTTTTCTTTTCCCCAGTTTGGGAAGACAGGTGCCAGGCTACGACACAGCAAGCTGGGATCTGGCAAGGGGAAATCTTTCCTGGTAGAGGGGGGAGAAAGAGCAGGCATTTTCCACTCGGTTACTCCTGCAGCTGTCGGGGTCCAGCTCCATCCCTGCATCCCTCCAGCTCTCCCCATGCTCGGTGGGGCAGGGCGCGGGAGGCAACCCAGCTGCCTTACCCGCTCCGACTGCAGCTCCTCGCCCTGGCACAAGCGACACAGGAAGGATTTCTGCTCCCGACACAGGGTCTGCCTGGTGGTGAGGAAGACGGTGCCCCCCACATTGAGCCTCACCCACTTGGCCTGGGTGCCAGCGGGTGGCGGGATGTCCCAGGTGCAGCGAAGCCCCACGGCGCCCTGCGTGTTCTCCCCGCCCTCCATCCTCATCCTCATCCTCATCCTCATCCCCACCCCCCGGCGTGCAGGGACCGCCGCAGGTGCTGCCTGACGGAGAATGCCGGGATCTGTAGTTTATCTGCCTCTCCCTCCGCAGCAGCCGCGTTTCCTGGGGGCCAGGGTCCTTCCTGTGACAGTCAAGGGAGTCCCGAGGGGAGGAAGGATGCTCTGCGCTGGAGGACTGCGGTGGTTTCACTGCGCTAGCCCTTGGCCAGCAGCCAACACAGCCGTTCACCCACTTACCCCCCACCACCCCAGGAGATAGGGCTGAGAATTGGGGGCGAGGGTAAGGAGACTCGTAGGTTGAGATAAGAACAATTTAATAATAGAAATAAAAGAAAACTTAAAATAATACTTATATTAAAATAGTAATTATAAAAATAACAGTAACAAAATATGCAAATCAGGACCGGACAGAACTTCGGAGGTGCAGAGTGTTATGCGAAAATGATCGGCATTTATTTCCACAGACATCCTCTCTGGCTCATGAAAAGGTTGTGGGAGCTGCAGTTTGCAGGGACATGCACAAAAGGGTGCTGGGAACTGTAGTTCTCCCAACCCGCTGTCCCTGCAATGAGGATGCTGGAATGAAGGAGGCTGCACTGTACTGCATGGCCCCAGCCCTGCGGCTGGTAGTCTGCCTGCTTCCAGTCCTGGGGCTTGTCTGCAGCTTCCTCGGAGTCAGGAAGAACAAACCGCTCACCGGCAGTCAGCAGATTAAGCCCATCAGCACTGTACTCCACAGTTTTCCTTTCAGGAGATCCATTACCCCAGGCTCACAGATCAGCGCTGTTGCCACACCGTTCTTGCTGCAAAATGTGCAGACAGTTGTCTTCTTGCTAACATATGTAGGGACACTTCTGGGAACCGTATCCTGGATCTGCATGAAGTGCTGGCAGCAGCCAGGAATAGTTTTTCTTAAAGCTCAGAAGAGTTGCTGACTCAGCAAACTCCCCTGCTGTGCTGTCCTACCAGCACAAACCATGCCAGACAGAGACCCCCGTGTCCTTCCCCTCTGCTCCTGCCATCCCTGTTTGTGTCTGGGCAACAGAGAGCTCAGATTTTAGCTCAGCTCTGTGTGGAGTTTTACCTCTGCCCCAGGAACATATCACCCGCTGACACTGATGTGCCAATCCTGCCATAGGAATCTAGCCCTGCCTCTGCCACTCGCTCCTGCCAGGCCAAGCCTGGAGCTCAGCAACTCATGTCCTGTCGGACTCTGTTCAAATGCACTCCTTGGCACAGACACAGCCTGAACGAGCTCTCTCTCCAGCAGCTCTTGTTTTTCCCACTCCCATCTAAGCACAGCCGAGCTTGCCAGCAGCTCGAGCATATTAGGAATGGAAAGGAAAAGCTGATGTTTCACCTGAATGTGGCCCAAAGCCTTCCTTCACCTAAGCAACTTCCTGGCTTTACCTTGCCAGGCCAATGCAGCACTGCAGAAACACTGTGGTGCCTTGCAGGTACTTTGTTGTTCTTGCATCTAGATCTTTGTGTCTTTTGAGGTGGGGGTTTATTGGGGGAAGAGAGTGGATAAAGAGAAACACTGTTCCTGTTCATCCATTCCCTTTCTTCTCATCCTTCCCTCTTCTTTTATTTACAAATCACTCCCTTTTGTCATTACAGGATATGAACACAGTGACAGCCTTCCTGCAAATCACCCAGGACTTCCTTCACAGAGACGTGTGTGTACTTTGATCCTTCTATCGAGTGCAAAGGGGAAGAGGGGAAGAGACAATAACATGGAAAAGGTTTCAAGATTGCTGACCTACAACTAATTTAAGCACAGGAACAACTCAACTGCTGCAAGGTATACATTCAAATAAGTCTGTCTCTCCTTGAATTTATATCAGGGGCTGGCCAGCATTAGAGTGACCAATAACAGGAAGAGGATGAAAAATTATTTTTGCCCACTTACAGGGAGCAGACTTTGGCCCATATTAGTGCCCAGCCCTTGAACCAGTCTCCACTGAGCAGTGATGTGATCAAAGATGCTCAGACTAATGCTGACCTGAGCTGAAGCATCATACAGTGTGACACAGCTCTGGGCTGTGGGATTGTTGCCCTCCTGCTTCTGGTTCTGAGTTAAACCATGCCAAATCGGAGAGCTCTGCCTTGCACTCTTGTGTGCAAGGGATGCAGGACCCTGTCGGTGCTGGCTGCAGCTCCAGCAGATAATTAGTGTAAGGACTGCAGCTCTCCGATATAAATGCAGTAGTTGGGTGGCAGCCCACAGCCCCTTATCTTCCCCTCCAAGAAACCTGCCCTGCCTTAGTTTTCTTCCTTCTTCTATCAAGGGTTCACCCTGTCTCCCTTTCCACCTCTCTCAGCCCTTCAGCCTCTTGCTCCTTTTTAGGTCCCTTTCTTGTTCTCAATGCCTTCTTCCCCAACCCCTCTCATGCCAATGCTGCTCATGGGTCAGGGATGGTCTGTATTCAGAGCACACCTTCTGCCATCAATACCAGCCTCCATCTGTGGCCAGCATTTCCAAGTCTCGCTCACCCCAGGGCCATGGTGGGAAAGGTTAGTTGGTAAATCTAAAGAGGTTTACTATGAGTAAGGAAAGAGGTCAAGGCACACCACTCCCATCCCCAGAGCCTTCTTTTCTGCAACACACAGTACAAAATTCATTGGAAACCCCACAGGCCAGAGCATTCCTCACAGTATGTGAAAAGTCCAGGGTGAGTTACCAACTGAAATGCTACGGGAAGCTGGTGGTGTGGGCTAAACACAGGCCTCATTTGCACACTACCACTAGGCATAGTTCAGAGATGCAACTAGCATGCTTTTGTTAAGGTCCATTAAAATCAAGCAATAGAACAGAGAAGAAATAAATATAAATAATGCAATAGCTGTTCCTCCTGCTTTGATAACTTTATATAAAACAGGGTCACAGAAACAGAGACAGGAGCAAACAAGAGCTTACATGGGGCAGTGTGATCATGTAATGCCATACAGCCCTGCTGAATACCCAGTTAAATCATAGGGTCAGTTGCACAGACTGGGGGCAGGAAAAACTGGACAGCAACTGGGTAGATGATGGGGCTGAACAAAAGTTGAGGAAAACAGAGCTGGGGGTAAACTGAGAGTTTCTTGGTTCAGCA